CTAATATTTATAATTCATTCTCTTTACTTAAATTTAATCATTCCTCTCCCAACATCATATGCTTATAGTGATTCTCAGTGAAACCCATTATTCAGAATCGCTGTAACAATATTAGATCAGTATTACCGAACCAAATTTCAAATTTCCTAATTTAGAATTTCCCCCTAATTTGTAAACACAAGCCACAAGCCACAAGCCACAAACTATTCTTAGATAATGCAAATCACTCCCACATTGATCACGTGAATAACACCACATATTACTATTACTATTACTACTATTCCAATTACTATGAATGAGCAAAAAAAAAGTTATTATTTACGATGAACTTTGTTGAGCGTAGTTTTTCTTTCGTCCGTTTTGTTCTCGTTGGCTTGGACTAGGTAGATTTTTTGGCGGACTCCATGATAGAAAGAACCCAGAGCCTCTAAATGAAAGATTTCTCCATAGGGCTTAGCTGGCGGTGACAGGAAATCTGGTGAACCGTTCCTGTCTGAGTTGCTGACCGGATGCATTCCACTAGTCTTTGAGCAGAATTGAAGAAAGAGAGAATTGAGTGGTTCTATTACCATAAACTGTGTGCAGAAGAAAGAGTGGGAGCGAGTGATTCTAATTACAATAAACTGTGTGCAGAAGAAAGAGTGGGAGCGAGTGATTCTAAATACTATAAACTGTGCAGAAGGAGGAGAGGAAGCGAGTGATTCTATTATTATTGTCTATAATGGAATTTATTGAGGGTAATTTTTTCTTTTCGGGTGTGTGTATCCTTTCTGCGAATTTGTCAGCGGACTCCATAATAGAGAAGATTTTCTCCTAGGGCTTGGCTTGGCGGTGACAGGAAATCTGGCGACCATTCCTGCTGAGTTGCTGATCAGATGCGTTCAATCTAGTCTTTGAGATGCTTGAAGGAGGAGCGGAAGTGAGTAATTTTGTTATTATATTGGTCGTGCAGTGAATTTGTTAAGGGTGATTTTTCTTTTAGTTCGTGAAAGTGCACTCCTCACAATCCTATATTTTCGAACAAATGAATTAATTCTAGGTGTTAACAATGAACCATATTTTTGAGTCAATGCATTTGTCAATTAACTCCAGAAGACTAGTAAATTAACAAAATGGAGTAGTTGATTAGTAGTGACATTTCGAAGCAGTGACTTTCACAAAAGTTGAAGTAAAGATGCTAATGGTCCAGGACTGCGATTTGCCTTAACATATATCCATTCGTACTGATAATATTATAATCACAGCCCTCGACTGCGAGTATCTTTACTGAACAAATCAAAGCTTTGAGAGAGTTTGGCTTTGGATGTGTTTATAAACTTGAACTGAGCCGCAAAGTATCATTTTATGGCTTTTTTATATAAGTATTTATTTGATTTATTTTAGCAATGATAATCATATTATTAGCTTTTTAATATTCATTATTTTGTTGTTTACAAGCTCGTGTACGATTGCTGTCGACGTTGTTTAGTCTCCCGTTCTAATGGAAAAATATTATTTAAGGAAGATGTATGTTTACAAGGATTTTTGCCTTCATACATAATGTTGATCAGATGTTGAGCTTGCCTAAAAGAGTTCGAATTGATAACATCAGAAAGATAAGTAGCCAAATTATGTTGATTATTAGTATTGATTTGTTCTTGTGGAGGTGATTGTTTCGATTGAAGTAAATTCATAAGAAGTATTGAGTTATCCTGTAACGTCTGCATACTACGTGAAGTAAACACTAAGAAGTTATCGAACTCTTATTTATGAATAGCGGTAGTATTTAAGCTGGCGATATTGACTACACTAGACAATGATTGCGTGGGTGTAGATGTAGATGTGCTAGTTAATGACTTTGGAGTATTGGATGCGCCTAGAATATGTCCTATATAACTGAGAACTTTTTTGGATGAGGTCTTTGTAAAGTTATTATTATCATCATCACTTTCACTATTATCATTATTCTTGTTATTATCGTTACCATTATCATTATCGTCACCATCATCACTATCATTACTATCACTTCTATTATCGTTATCGTCATTATTGTTTGTTATGGTGCTCTCTGGACTTGATAGTAAGTTGTGACGAATGTTTCGTGCTTCTTGTCAGGTTGCAAAGATCATTATGGGTAAATGTTTGTGTTGCTCTTGTTTGTGAAGTTCATCGATATAAAGAGCTGCAGCATGGAGATGCTTACATATGATTCCATTTTGAAGGAAGTCAAGACACTGACAACATATATCCATCAGTTGTTCATGTACACAAGTTGTATAAGTAAGCGGTGATGTGGTTTCAGACTCAACTCGAACATAAAGTTTTCCAGTTGGTTTTTCTATATTATATTCAATGACTTTTTTCATTTGAAGCAAGCACTTTGCAGATTCATCGCGATTTGAACTTGGAGCAAAGTAAGCTACTTGAGGGAACTCTTTCATAAGAGTTTCACAAGTTAATGAATTCATTATGTCGAGCTCCTTACGTCGTTCTGCTTTTTCTTTTTCAAGATTCTCAGCAAGGTTTCATAGCACAAAGATATTAGGTATAATTTCAGATACGAGAGCAACATAAAGCACATCAGCTCTGAGGAGACGACCCTTTCTCTGAAACTATTTTAATTGATTGTTCTTCAAGTATTTGTTAATTCTTTCGAGGTGATTATTCGTAGTGAGAAGTTTTTCGAAGAGAATTCTGAGAGCATTTGCAGCTCTCTTCCATCCGCTAAGACACTAATTGTATAAAAGATTGCCAGCCCACTGTTTTTCCAAGTAGGTGAGGAACTTTATCCCTCCATTCAAAACATTTTTGACGCCTTCTGAAACCTTTATATTTTTGATGAGACTTTCTAGTGATTCTCTTTCTTCTGTGATAAACTTGCGTATCACATCTTCATCACTATCCATCGACCATGCTTCTTTTAATATACTCCGCAAATATATCTTCAAAGTCTGTCGTTGCAAAACTATATTATTATCACCACCTCGTCCTAATTGCTTATTAATTTCATTCTTCCAACATTGGCTAATGTGAAAGTAACAAAGTAGTAGAATAATTCCTGGCCATACTTTTGATAATGGTCCTCGTTTCTTAACATCAGTATCAGTTATTGCAACAAGAGGCGTAAATGTAATTTGAATGGCATTTGGATCAATTGCAAGTTGATTTTGATTATAAATGATGTTAATTTTATTGCGAAAAATTCTAAAGAGTCACTCCAAAATCCTACTATCATATTCAGATGAGATTAATCGATTATGCAAGGGTGGTATAAAAAGAATGAAGGTAATTGGAATTCCTTTATTTTTTTCATCAATTACCATAATAATAAATAAGAGAAGTTTATGTTTGCTGATTCCAAAGGTTCCATCGATGAGAATGAGATTTTGGTGTCCATATTTCCATGCGTATTCCTATTGTTCCCGAGTACAGATGATAATCTCCAGACGGTCAGTATCTTTGGTATGCAGTTGATAGTGTAAGCATGCCTCCTTAAGTTCTGATTGATCTGCTGTCGATCCAAGAAGTTTTTTTAAGTTTGTTGCAGTGTCATTGCAAATATTGATATTCCAATTTTTTTTAAGCATTTGTTTTTTGATATTAACAATATTTATTGCCGTAAGGAGTGTTCTATGATTACTGATTAAAGTATTTTTTTCAAATACATTTTTAACAATTTGCGCATTTTGCACAAGTATGTCTATAGTGCACACATTTAGACTTAGCAGATTTTTAACGCTTTTTCTTACACACGGCAAGAGTCGATATGGCGAATCATGTTGTGATTGGGAAGTCCTGCATTACTCTGAATGTTTTAAATATCCTGAAACAGCACAAATTTTGTTATTGCGAAGAAAAAGTGTAACAAAGGCAAGGCAGCCAACGTAGAAATAACGGGTACGTGCACGAGAACTGGATTCAATGTTTTCTCGATAACTTCCACATGTGCATTGTTTAACAATCATCATTGAATTCGATTGCTGGGTGGATCACTTGCATCTTATATCATCAGGATCGATATTAAGACTGTTTTCAATAAGAAATTGATCACGCTGTTTGACATGTTCCTCATCACATAGATTTCATTGTCTTTTAATCACCCCAGGTGCATTATTATTTAATAATTCAATTAGTTTTGCTCGATTATTGTCTTTTAATAAAAGATGTGAGTTTAGTTTCACATCCACGCGTGGATTATAATTGCCTCTTTTTTTGCTTGAGTCAGACGCTTTAAATTTTATCAATGACATTAGTATTAGTGAGCAAAAGGATTAAAAAAACGCGAATTATGTCTTGATTTAGCAACTAATCATTATGACTTACTTATTTTAATAGTCAATAAAATAAATAAATATACGATCAATATTAGTAAAATTGTAATGTACAACTTGTAAGTTGGAGATATTTGATTCAACGACAAAGAGAAAAAAGTTTAACAGTGAATAGATATCTTTTAGTTTGTTTCGCTTATTTTATTCTTATTACAATCAGTACTTTTAATTCTTTCGCTTATAATTTATAATCAGTACATTAGTTTGTAAAAATCACCCTTAACAAATTTATAGTAACTGCACGACCAAGATAATAACAAAATTATTCCTTTTAGTTTGTTTCACTTATTTTTTCTTATTACGATCAGTACTTTTAGTTGTTTCGCTTATAATTTAATCAGTACATTATTTTGTAAAAAATCACCCTTAACAAATTCACTGCACGACCAATATAATAACAAAATTACTCACTTCCACTCCTCCTTCAAGCGTCTCAAAGACTAGATTGAATGCATCTGGTCAGCAACTCAGCAGGAATGGTCGCCAGGTTTCCTGTCACCGCCAAGCCAAGCCCTAGGAGGAAATCTTCTCTATTATGGAGTCCGCTGACAAATTCGCAGAAAGGACACACACACCCGAAAAGAAAAAATTACCCTCAATAAATTCCATTATAGACAATAATAATAGAATCACTCGTTTCCTCTCCTCTTTCTGCACAGTTTATAGTATTTAGAATCACTCGCTCCCACTCTTTCTTCTGCACACAGTTTATTGTAATTAGAATCACTCGCTCCCACTCTTTCTTCTGCACACAGTTTATGGTAATAGAACCACTCGATTCCCTCTTTCTTCAATTCTGCTCAAAGACTAGTGGAACGCATCCGGTCAGCAACTCAGACAGAAACGGTTTACCAGATTTCCCGTCACTACCAGCTAAGCCCTACGGAGAAATCTTTCATTTAGAGGCTCCGGGTTCTTTCTATCATGAAGTCCGCCAAAAAATCTACCTAGCCCAAGCCAACGAGAACAAAATAGATGAAAGAAAAACTACGCTCAACAAAGTTCATCGTAAATAATAACTTTTTTTTTGCTCGTTCATAGTAATTGGAATAGTAGTAATAGTAATAGTAATAGTAGTAATAGTAATAGTAATATATGGTGTTATTCACGTGATCAACGTGGGAGTGATTTGCATTATCTAAGAATAGTTTGTGGCTTGTGGCTTGTGTTTACAAATTAGGAGGAAATCCTAAATTAGGAAATTTGAAATTTGGTTCGGTAATATTGGTCCTGAGACACAACATATATATTTATCAAAAAAT